TTCTTGACCGAGAACGATCATCAAACATGAGGGTGACGAAAACAACACATAAACAGTTCGACCCGAAAAAGTCATGGACCTGCCACCGGTCACGGTCCGCATCACTGCCGCCGGTGCCTCCACCTGGACAGCTTGCCATGGTCGAAGCTCTTTTGGGGGAGGTGCTGCGATCAGTGGGCCTCAATTACTGTGCAATGTTGAATCGGGGACTGTGGCTCTCTCACCCTGAGCTCTGGACCGCGGCTCTGGCTTGAATTCAGAAGGAGTGCACAGCCGACGCCACCTTCGAAGTTAACAGGGATGCTGTCAAACATCATAGAGTCTCGACAGCAAGCGGCGAAATAGCCAGAGCTTGGAGCCTGCTCTACCGTCGAAGCTTTGTATACACAGTGAAGACGACCGACGAGTGTGGTTTAGGGTTTAGGATTTAATTTCTCCTCCAGGATCGTGCCCAAAGTGCCAAGCTCCAGACCCATGGCCAGCACTGTGGAGCCTTGCTGGGCATCTCTGCTTCCCGTCTGATCTGTTTGTTTTGGCTACCAAATAGTCAACGGCACCCGGGCACTGAGAACCCAACACAATGTATAACCTTACGAAACACGTCTCTATACTGGTCTGCAGGTCTCCATGCAAGTGATCTACGATCTTCCAGTGAACCTTAGTTTCAGCTGCTGAAAGTCTGAGGCATTTCAGCGGGAGGGCAACACAGACTTCACCGTGGCATCGGGCCTGGCATCATCATCGCTACACCAAGGCCGGCAGCCTGTGCCTGGCCGAAAAGAGCGAAGCGGCGAGCGCGGCGCTGGCGGCGGCGCCGGGTCCCCGGCTTTGGTCAGGCGGACTCCTTCGAGGTCGAAGGCGCTCTTCCTCGGCGCCGGGTTGCAGAGGGACGAGAGCTCTGTCTTCGCGGGTTCAGCTGTCAAGTTGCGTCGGGCGGCAAGGATTTTGGCAGCCGGTCTGTGGACAGCAGTGGGTCCTTTGTGAGCAGCTCGGCGAGAGCAAAAAAGGCGATTCCAGTGTGCTGATTTGCGTAACCGAGCTCCGTGCGCTCCCACCGCCACATCTCCGGTCTGCAGGCCACTGGCGACGCTGCATGCGCTCGAAAGTGATACTACTACAGAGGTCATGGCTGGCCAAAGATCCATCGAAAGCTCTTGCATGAGCGAGATCCCCAGCCCCGATCCAGCCTGCTGCAACTGCTGCCAGTGGCTGCCACGCAGCACCTGCTTTGGAAGGCCATGTTCCTTCATACAACCAGGAGCAAGGTGCGACGAAGCTTTTTCCTCAGCATTGTCTGAGCGAGGAACAAACTCCGTTCCCCTCCAGTGAATCATACGTCTCACGTTAGCAGTTCGCAAATCCCAGAGACATCTGGCCGCGGTCTTTGGAGGCTTACCTGATCGCCCCAGAGCTTTTGTCGTAGTTCAGGATGCCAAGCCTCCAAGTCACATCCATGAGCTCCACCATGTGCCGTGCAGTGACAGCTGAAAGCGATCACACAGAGAACTGGCAGGAAATATCCGCTTCCACCACAGTGCCATACGCTGTACTGCACCAGAAACATAGCATGGACAGGTGGAGAAGGTGCAGTGCTGCTGCACTTCGTGGTGTCAATGTAGTACGCGCTGAGCTCTCCACCCACCGACAACTTCAAGACTGTCTGTCGCCTGCTCATGGTTCCAGTAGCCCCGTGTTATGTGCCGTTTACGGCTGGTTATGGCTCGAGCAAACAACGATGACGCTGATGACGCTGACGACGGCGACGATGATGTTGGTGTGCGGAAAATTCGTCTGACAGCGGAAAGCCCGTCAGGTTTCAACAGCAGCTTCCTGGCTGAGGCAGACGAAGGCTGACCACCGCGGCTCTGCCAATGCTCGGTGGATTTATCTCGCAGTCAAAGAAGCCGGATGCAACGAAAGCGAGCATCTAAGTCGATGCTCGCAGCTCCGTATGACAGAATCTCGGCGGAGAGAAATGAGGGATCTGCTCTTCAAATCTGGTCCCTGGCGATATCCTCACATTCACGAGGCGTGTTCATGAGGATGAGCGCCTCCTGGCCAGCCATAGCATGCAAGTGGGCGATTCTTTAAGCCATGCACTTGTTCTGTGATAGACCTTACTGACGTCAGCACCCCGTCAGGTACATGGACAGAAAAAGGAACTGGTACATGCAAGCGGTTCTGCCTCCAGGAGGGTCCTCAGCCGATCCACCGGAATCGTGATGTTTGCATCACGTTCCTGGGCGGCGTTGTTCCAACAATGGCCCACATTAGCTTCGCAACAGTATGAGTATGAGCATTCATCGTATTGGTAATGAGAAGAACAGCAAAAAGAAAGTAGTCGTGATAGTAGTGATAGTGATCGTAGCAAAAGTACTAATAGTCGTAGCAGCAATAGTCAATCGTCATACAAGAATACGATGTTGGAATATTACTATGCTTGTGACTGTTATGAGTTTGAGTATAAACAACAACAGTACCTTGCGACTGTTTGTATCATGAGTGAGTATGCATGCTTAGTATCACATGCAGAACTGCATGTCTTCAATCGTTAAGCTCCAACACTTCAGGTCCCACATGCAACATCCATCCTGTCCGATACAGATAATATCAGATAATCATGACCACAACAGGCCTCCATGCTAACCCCCAACTCCCCAAATCCTCAAACCAAGCTTCAAACCCCTTGGTCGATTGTGGATGGCTCAGAAAGTACAATCTGTTTGTATCCCTTGCCCTGACCACATTCTACTGACTCTGACCCCTCCATTGCTTCTCGAAGATGTCCAGCCCAGCGACCCGTAGGTCGAACTCCTGACAAGCCAGGAGCCCAAGAGCGTAATTGTTTGGTGATTGGATCCCTAGCACGATCGCCTTCGGCTGTCCTTCCTTTTCTGTATCATTGTGACCAGGAAACACATGTGACCATTATGACTGTCGCTGTTGCGTTTGCTATTACTGCTGTTGTTGGTGGTGCTGGTGCAACTGCCAATTCTCGAAATCACATCATGTTGCAATCTCGCACAAGAACGCCAAAACGAAGCACAATCGTCATCATCATCATCATCATCAGCATCATCATCATGTTCACGAGTCAGATTTCACAGCACAGAGCCAAGATTGAACACGCGTTGCATGGCTAGTTCATGCCGCTTCCACGAAACAAGATCATGCAATCCGAACGTTGGGATCATCCATACCAACTTTCCTCTTCGGTCCAACAAAGTGCTACTCCCAACACCCGAACAGACAGACAGTGCAAGTTGCCAGCAACTCGAATATTCTTCCATCCTCATTGCACCTCAAAAACAGAAGCTGCAACTGCCAACACCTGTCACGTTGAGCACTTTGCAGTCTCTCGGGCCTCCCCGAGACCCTTCTCCGCATCGGCAGGCTTCACGCAGATGTGATGGATGAGGGCAAGACGTGCGATGCCACCGAAGGTCTCATGGCCGTCCACATCCCACCTGTGTCACGCAATGAGTGGCTTCGGGAGGGGAGATGAGCAGATCATCTTTGCGTCCGTCCTCCTCCCTGGATCCCTGAACTGCTGAACCCGGAAGCTTCAAATTCTCGTCCATGCGTTTCGCGGAATCTGCAATTGGCAGGTCACGGGCTTTTGGAAACGATTGTGATAAAGGGGGAGGTTACCCCTTTCGTCCGTCGTCCCTCTTCGGGAGCAGCTGCAGCAGCTGACTTAGCCCGCAAGCTCAAGCGAATGCGATCAGTCCGAGGTGAGACTCTCGTTTCTACGCTGCTCAGTGCTAAATATTCATTGGAAACACCACTTTTCCTCGCTGCCGCACTTGGTGTTTCCCTTGCCATTGCCTTTGCCAAAGCCCTTGTGGTTGCCCTTCGGTTTTTAATCCCCTTTGTGCTTTCCCTTGCCCTTGCCCTTGCGGAGCCTGGGGAGAAGATTGGAGATGCCAGAAAACCCTGCCCATGCTGCTGTTGAAAGTTGCCAGCGGTGCTGGAGCCAAAGCTGGAAGCGGGGGGAGGGGTACATTTGGGCAGTGGTGGTGAGTGGCTCTCCGACATGGGGGCAGATGCCACAAAGCCTGGCATGCAGCTGGGAAAAGTTGTACGTGGATTTGTGAGCGGCACAGGGTGGAAAGCCCGCAAGGCGTATGCGCAGCAGGTGTGTGAGTGGGCATGAGTGTCGTTGTTGGGAAGCAAGGGGCCGGAGGAGTCATTGGCGACTGCCAGTGCCAGGGCCGTTCGCCCATCAAGGCCGGCGAAGCAGCCATGGCGAAACTTATGGTTTGGGCCTAGCTGTGCAACTGAGTCAAACGCACCAGTCTGCTCCTCTCTGCTCTCACGTTACTTGGTTCAGAAAGATATCGGACCACGTCTATCGATACAGATAGAGTCTTTCAAAGCGCTTTCCGAATGGAAGTCCACTGCCCTACAACGGCCACGCCTGTTGCCACAGGCGAGGATGAAAGTAGGCACACCCCCTGGTCGGAACTCGATGACGGCACCGCCTCTCGCAAGGGGCACACCCGGGAAATTTGGTCAGGCCCTTCTTCTGCCACTCTTCGGCCGAAAGCCCAGTGCATCCAGAGATTCTAAGTTTCCGTACTTACTGTGCGGTACCGGAATTGTCGGATTCACCAGCCTTGCTGCATGGCCCACACCTCAGGTCCGCGCAGGAAGGGCCAAGACGACACGGACCCTTCATTTCGGAGGTATCCTGAAGATCCTGGAGCTACAAAAATACTGCAGAAGGCCCGTGTTTGAACTAATTGGCCCAAGAAGCCCACGCCAAGCCGCCACCATGGATGCCCACCAACACAGAGAGATCCACAAAGCGCCGAAATTGGGTCAACCATGGAATCCCCTGAAAAAGAAACGTCGTGAGCTTGTCAAGATTTTGGGAGCGCTACTCTGAACGAGGCCACCATGCCCGGGAGTTTGTCGGGCCATGCGGCTTAAAGAAAACTTGCAGGAGTTTGCTGTCTCGTTGAGGGATTCAGGAACACGCACTTTCGTCCAAGGTCCTTGAGGTCACCGATTGTGTGAAAAGAAAGCTGCTGCTCGAAATCCCGCCGCAGCATCGCCGAGACCTCCTCTATGTTGATGATGGCACCTGAGGTAAGAAGACAAGGCTCAGAGCCTAAAACGTGAAGAATCAAAGGAATGTGTTGTTGGACCTTCCAGAAACCCCCTTTTTCCAAAAAATTACTGCGAAATCCATCATCTGGAGCTATCCGAAGAATCTGTTCAAGTCCAAGTGGAGAGCCAAGCTTTTACGATCTTTCACACGCAAGTCGCACAACCCGCAAACATACCAAGGGGCCTCATAACGGGAAACACCCAGAATTCATTAGAAGGGCTGCGGAATGTGCGGAGGTCTGAAGTGCGTGAAATTGAACGCCTCGAGTCTACTTTTGACTGAGGCTGAAAGGCGCCGAAGGCACGCCCCGTCATGAGCGGCCGCTGTATCACTGCTGCTTGCCTGCATTTGAGGCAGAGTTTGTGCTGGGACCGTAGCTGACAAGAGCGCGAGGATACCGCTACAGTGAGCTTGCGTCTTCGAGTTGGAGACAAGGCTGCAAGCTCATGCCTCCGGTTGGCTGGCGCAGCTTCTGTGATCCCAGCAGCATCAACTGGGCCACAGAAGCAACGTTGTGTTCTGCTGCGCACTTCTACAAAACACTCATGCTCTTGAATTTGTAGTGATTGCTCAGTTCTTGACGTGTAGAAACCTCACGAGACGAGGGGCCCACAAATCTCCGGGCTCGCCTGACATCCGCGCAGCTTAGGCTGGAAGTCTGCACCTTCACAGGAACCAGCACTTCCGAGCCCCTGTGAGTATTATTATTCGCATTACTATGAGAATTACGATTAGTACTAGTATAAGTAATACTACCAGAAACTAATCCTACTATTAACATTCTTCCGATTATCATTCTTATCCTTCAAGGGCAACCACGAGCCTGGAAGCGCAGAGGTGGAAGGCCAAAGATCACCTTTTTGTAGGTCTTGCCAAAGCAGTCCTGCAAGCAAGGGGCCCGCCTTAGGGTTTAGGGTTTACGGTTCAGGGGTTTCAGGTTTAGGCTGTGCGCCTCAGGATTACGTTCTAAATTGACCTATCTATCACGAAGAGCGTCCTTCAGCTGCTTCCCCGGCCGAGCTGAAAGAAGTCGGAGGATGTCCTGCAACAACTTGCGCGAAGCTTCTGCCTATCTGTTCAATCATCTTCATTGCTTCCCAAGGGGGTCCTCATGAAAGCCGCCGGTCTTCCATGCACGAAGATCCCTCACGCGCTTCTTATCCGCCACCTGCCGACAAACTTCCAGCGGGAATTTGATGACGAGCAATCAGAAGTCCGTCCGGTTCCCAGGCTGAGCCCATGAAGCAAACTCTCGAAAGCTCTGCGAAACAGCGTTTGCTCCGCGAGCGCTTCCAAGCACCGGGGCCTGCCTTGGGAAAGTTGGCCTGCAGGAAGGACCATTGCAGGGGCTCCGCACGCTGCATCGGCTTGTTGGCCAGGTCGGAGGTGTCCAGCTGACGGGCCAAGGGAAGGGGGAGAGAGAGGCGAGTGATGCTTCGCCACTTCAGAAGCTTCACTCCCGGTGCCTTGTGCTTCGCAGAGGCGCCCCAGTCGGATCCATCCGCGGGGAAAGCGAATGCCTGAGACTCGTACTCCCCACCTCCAAGCCGCTGCAAGGCTCTTGCGCCACCGCTACAGCCGAGAGACCAGGTCGACATCTTCCGGCTTCAGTTCAAGATTGAGCTTCAGTTCGACCTGGGCAGATAGCAGAGTCAGACATCACGGGGAGTTGTCATAAAGTCAAGTTGCGGCCCAGGTACAATTGCTGGAATCCACCAGTGCATATGGTGCCAGGGATTGTTCCACGTGGAGAAAGTCACTGGCAACACATACAGGATGCGATCCTCAAGAACAACTACCAGCAATGGCACTTCTGTGAACCCGAAGCCGCAATCCCCACTCCAGAAACACTAAACTATCACCAACGGCAGCCAGCAGCCCATGTTTGTAGACGCAAACAGAATCGGCAAACGCTGCTGAAACTCATCGAAGTCTCCTCTTCAGCAGTCGCAACATGGCGCAGGCCCATCATCATCCTGGCTCTAAAGGCTCGATTCGCAAGGACTGAGACTTCTGGACAGCAGCCATGCTGGCACCAGGCTGCAGACCCTTCCAAGATGCAGGCAAAGATGCCAGAAGCGACCGATCTCCGTGCACATCGGGCCAAAAAACTTCCTGAGTCGAGGCACTGAGATCCCCATAGTCCTACACTATACCGACTGTACCACAACATCATGCAAAAAAAAACAACATGCCGGAGCCATTTCAGTTGTAAAAAAGACTGGTGGTGCAAAAAAGATCCGGTCAGTTGCCTCCGGGAGGCTCCGGGACCCAGAGGCCTGGCTTGAAGAAGTCCTCGCCCGGCTGCCGCCGAATCTCCACGGGCCCCTCGAAGTGGTGCCTGCCCCCCCAAGGGGGGTCCCAAAACCGAAGAGGCCCTGAGCCCTCTCCTGGCTCCGAGGTGTTGGGATCCTAAGAACCCGGAGCTTAGACTCCCAAACCTCAGCCCTCTCTGCAGCGGAAGGGGCGGACCACACTGATGATGCCAGGGCTGGCCGGGGAGCCATCCTTGCGGCCTAGGAGTTTCAGGGTTCAAGGATGGGATCGGGATCTGGGCTTTTCCGAGCTTGTGATGTTGTGTCTGAACCCCAATGACCGGTACAGGAGACGTCGGCATTCTGACCTCCACCCTGACCTGGAGTTCTCCACTTCTCCCTGAAGGCAAGAAGCTGATGCGGATTCTGCGGAGAGCTCCAGTACACGTCGTTCTCCACGCCTGTTGGGTTGCAGTCCGCGGAAGCGGCGTGCACAAGGTTCAGGATCAGATCCGTTGTTCAGAAGCCCACACCCAACCAAGCCCACCAGGAGGATCCTACGATGATGGTCCTGAGACAGTGGTCTAGATTGACGGAAAAGCCTGCATCAGATCCTGAAACCTAGAATCTCACCAAGCATCAAGTCTAATCCGCAACTCCCGGCGCACATCATCGCGAATCTCACATTTGTAACATGCTCCGCGCTTCTATAGCACGTTCCATTATACGAGGCTTTGCGGTTTTGCGTGCGGTACTTGTGCCATCAATGTCTCTTCAAATCTGCCATTCGGCATTTCTAGGAACTTCCGTAATGACACATGGTCTTACTAGATGCTTCGAACGGTTCGTTGCAAGTTCCTTTGCCTTCCCTTTGGCCTCGTCTCGGGTTCCAGGCGAAGCGGCCTAGGAAGCTGCGTCCGAGCGGCACCGAGCCGCCACTCCGCTTTGCCAGCTGCAAGGGGAGCTTCATGGAGCTTGGGGAGTCTGGGTTTTTTGGGCGTTTAGGCTTTTTAGGGTTTTAGGAAATATAGGGTTTAGGGTTCAAGGCTCAAGGGTTTAGGGCTTTTCAGGGTTGAGGGCTTTTTGTTCCCGGACCTCTTCCTAAGGTGAGGGTTTAGGGCTTAGGGGAGCTCATGGAGCCTTCAGGACCTGACCGTAACATGGCTTCGGGAGTTGGGGAGCTCAGGGAGTTTGGGATTTTGGGCTCCGTGTTCGGGTTGCGTGGAAGGTGGAGTTTCGAGGATGGGAGCTCTTGCCCTCAGGTTCTGGCGATCTACGAATACTTTTAAAGCCTTTGCTCCTGACATTCACTGTGCCAAGCATATAATTAATCTCACTCTCTTCCGAAAATGTCCGAAATGCGGAGCTGTGGTTTAGTTTTGAACATGTCGGTGAGGGCCTCGGCTCGGGAGCCGAAAGCCAGTCTCGCATTGCTAAAGGTCTTGTCTGAGTAAGACGAGTCACGGACCCGGAGATCACACGACCGGTGATTTGTCGGTGCCCGCTGCTTTATACAACTCGAATTAAATTGGCGATGTTTTCTGTGATCAGTTCCTGTCCAGCAAGATGAGAAAACAGAAGCCGCGGTTAAGCTTTGGTGGGGGGGTTCTGCCAACAGCTCAAGGACCAAACCCGTAGGCAGACCTGATCATGAAATGCTGTCCTTGGATACCGGAGAACGGCCTGAACATGAGTCCGCGGTTCTTATATTTACTCCAACAACGACCGCAACCATTTGTTGTTACAGAGCTTGAGGCCTGCCAGATGGCATTGCCACATGCAACGGCAATGTCACGCACGCTGAAGCCCCAAAAATCAGGATCGTGGCACTCCTGGGCATTGAAGAGTGTCGTAACGATCCAGGCTTTGACACTATTGGAAGGAGCTCTCGTGGCTTGTAGCAGGCTATTGCTCAATGACGTGCTCTGCTCTATAGCAGCTGTAGCGGAACATGCACTTCCGTCACTGTAGCGGGGCGGGCTTGCTCTAGAATATCTGAATATGGTGTGTCTTCGCAACGTGGTCAAGTCGCTGTCTTCGTCGCAGTCGCCGTCGAGTCCATTTCGCGTAGTCGTCGCATCATCGTCACATGCTCATTACACTGTCATCTCATCGTCGTCGCGTCGTCGCCGCAGCGTCGCCGCATCGTCGCCGCACCGTCGTCGCGCCGTCGCCGGATCGTCGTCGCATCGTCGCCGTGTCGTCGTCGCAGCATCGTCGTGTCGGCCGGCAAGACCACTCCTCTTATACTAGTAACTTGAAACCATACCCCACATGTCTTCAGAGCTTAGATAGCTTAGATAATGAATATCTGGCGTAGCCGTAAGGAGGTACTTAAGCTTCCCTTGCCCCTTTCTCTGACTTCGGTTATCAGAAGAAGAAGTGATTTCCAGCAGCGCGGCTCAGCAAACCTCCGGAAACCGGACCTGGGGGCAATCGAACCTAGCAGGCAACGGTTCCAAGACAGTGGGCTCTCAGTTTAGCTTCGGCTTGATGTGATTCCGACGCAATCCTAGTTCTCAAGAATGGCTCAAGAATTGAGCCGAGTCGCGGCAATGACAGTGGACATGTAGAGGAGGCTCCGCTTGAGGTGAACGAATTTGTCCAAACTCTGCCTTCATGTCTACCCGGCTGGTTCGCATCTAAAGAATCTAAAGGGGCTATCTGCCCAGCATCTAACGTCGACATGGGCACTCAAAGGCATTCCGAGCCACTCCAGCACGCACTCCTGGCCTGCAGAGCCAGAAGAGAAGTGCAGGAATAATACGCAGGATTGGTATCACTACTACTCTTACTATTCGCATTGCTGTTGCTATTCATAATAATATAGGTATAAAGTATAAATGCGAATATTCAGGAATATTCAGGACTTCCACAGCTCCGACTCTGAGAGCTGTGCCGTGGAGGAGAGCCTGGGCCACCTCGCCCGGCAGGCACTGGCTCGTGAAGACCTCCGAAAGTCCCACAAAAAAGCGAAAACCAAGTTTAGGTGTAGGGTTTAAGGGGCCGAAGGACGGGGAGTCTGAAAAGTCTGAAGAGCGATGAGTCGCAAATCGCAGCCGGACCCTCGAAAGATCTACCAATGCTGTGCTTTTGGACTTGTACATGCCATGCTGTTGCATCCACATTCCACATGCTTGATTCGATGTGTCTCTGACTGCTACCGTCTTTGCTAAGCTGCACCCGAAGCTCTCCATGAATCCACTATGCAACTCATGCCTTCTTGCTCCTGCTTACAAGTACAATCCATCCATCGGTGACGCAAAGGATCATATACAACCCAAGACAAACCGCTCCTACGTCGTACGTTCATACACAGAAGCAGGAAAACCAAGCAAACTACAACGTCAGACTAGTAGCATCGCAAGGGGCAGAAACCACCGCATGAAGTCGCTCTGCAGCAACAGATCCTTCAGCCCTGCGCACCTGGCTGAACATGCTCGGCACCATCACGTCCGAGATCTCCGCATCTCTGCAGTTGCGCCCATCCTTGCGTGGACTGCACTGCCGAGATGCACATTCATTACCCTGATTACTCTACTCCTGTCGAATCCTCTCTCGGGGCACTCGCACTCCAGTGGACGAGGCCATCTCAGGTCATGCGGTAAATCTCATGTCCGTCTCTTCACTTAGCCCGTCTCGGGACTCGCTGAGTGAAACTCAGAAGGCTTGGCTTTCAACAGAGGCTTGGCCGCTCAAACCCGAAAAAGACTCAGGTCCAATGCCAGCGAGCCATGGCTGACCTTGGCCTTTTTGCCCCTCTTGGGTTGGTCAGCTCCCGTGCAACTTTTGCAGCGCCGCCGGTCTTTCCTGTTGTTGAGTTGGCTTTTGCTGAAGTCCTGTATTGGCCGCATGCCACACTGGCTGCAAATGCGCCCGGTCCGTCCCCGTGCCAGCTTCCACATTGCAGTGGCCAAGTCCAGGATGTCTTCCAGCAAGACGGGAGGGGCCCGGGCACTCTCCTGTTCTGCTGCCATCAGGGCATGATGCAGCGTCCCAGGATCCGGGCGAAGGACGCCCTTACCGTGCAAGTAGAGCTGGGAGCAGAAGGTTTGCTTTGCCGGCGATGCCTTACTCCATGCCTTGGCAGCCGCTCTCAACAAACGTATGGAATCTTCAAACATTTGGAGCTCCGCAAGAAAGGCTCTCGCATGCTCTCGCGCTTCCTCGAAAGTTTTCGAATGCGCATACTTCTGAAGAACCTTGTCGGGGGAGAGGCGACCGGCTCGAAGATCTTGGATATGCGATTGCAGACTCTCGCGAGCATTCATCGCCTTTTCCAAGGCTGTCTCCCCCTTGATGGTGATACTTGGGTTTGCCCCGCGATGCAGCAAGTTGCGGATCAACACCTTCGGGGCATGGTCTGGACAGGCATATTTTCGGATTGGCCCTGGGCCCATCCCCAGCACGTGATCCGGCTGCGCATAGCCAGCAACACTGTGCAGTTGCCGGTCGAGCTCAAGTGGCCGGTTGCTTTGTGGATCCCATCGCTCACTTCTGGCTGCGAGCTCATCCGCTCGATGTCTTTGTCTTTGGCTGCGATAGTCAGAGTCCGCATCGATCGGCGAATCACAGTTCTCCAGAGGATCAAGCACACGCACATCCCGATACCAGTCCTCATTGTCCTCATGTTCCATGTACTCCAACAAGGCTTGCAGCTGTGCTGGGGCATCTCTCGGCACCAGCACTGCAAACTCAGCAGGCAGGGGCACCAGGCGCTCTTTCTTTCCGTCGAAGCCGTCAGAACATCTCCTGGCCAGCGCCACGGGTGCAGTTGGGGCCACTGGACATCCCAAGCTAGCGCAGAAGTCGGCCACGGAAAAACAGCCATGTCCTTGGTACGAGTAGGAGGGGTAGTCGTGCGAGCACTTGAGGCGGCCGGCCGGAAGCGAAGCCATGGACCGGAAGAAGAAGTCGTGGCCGTTGTGCAAACCCAAGATGTGCCTTCCCGCCAGCTCCTCTTCGGGAGCCGGCAGGAACGAGCGAACTCTCTCCCGCACTTCCAGCGGCAGCTGGAAGCTGCGCAGGGACAGGCAGGCAAAGGCAAGATCGCCCAGCTTCTCTGCCAACGTACAACTCTTGGAAAGCAATCTCCTGGCCCCACTGACAGCGAGCTGCTTGCTAGGTTCGCTTCTCCCTGCTCTGTAAGGGTCGAAGCAGGGCGATGGGCTGTATCGACTTTCTCGCATGTGATCTTGCCCGTCTGAACCGGACTCGACACTGTTGTCGCTGTAGAAACCATCCTCAGACAGAGAGCGGTTGAAGCTCTCGAAGAGCTGCGATTGCGAGTCTCTGGATGAGGGCGGAAGCATCATCCCGCGCATTGTACGACCGTCAACCCAGCATGCTGCCCCGACACCAGCTTGAATGTACAATTCGAACTTCAGGTGTTCCGCGACCTATGTTTGCCGTTTCGGCACGAAGCCGAGAGCTGCCACTGAGTTGTCAGGACCGGGCGCAGAAACGGGTTCGGGGCACGGGGCATTGGACAGCGGCAGGTTAAGGTGCTCCCTGTGGCAAGCAGCGGTACAAAAGAGCATCCGAGGCAGCAGGAGCACTTCAGAATTCTGCAAAGGTAGATGGGAATGGTTCTTTCTCCGCAAGGCATGGAATCAACGTCGGATCTGAAGCTTTCCTGACGTTTCAAAAGTTCTCCAACGCATTTCCATTCCCCCATTCCACCCGAGCCCAGTGTTCGAGGCCGGAGCTCCGAAGTGAATCTGGATCGAGGCCGGCTGCGGTTCAGGAAGGGGACTGCGAAGCCCCGCCGAGGCATTTGGCTCCGCCAGACCTGCGCAAGATCCAGCTGCTTTGAAGCGTTGTCTCTGTCTGTGTCTGTGTCTCTGTCTGTCTTGCCGTATCTCGGACGAACAAGATCTATGGAGTGTACAGTACCAGGAAGCACCCTTCGAACAATGTGCGCGCATCAGGGAAGCAGTTTCACCCAGCTCGCCTGGCCCCTCACGAAGGAATAGAATTCTGCTGCCTGCACTGCGTGATTGACGCACATCCGAAGTGAACCGAGCCCTTCCACATGCGAAGCTGAGTCTGAATGCTCTGCTCTGAGAAACGAAAAACAGCCTCGTGCAAAGCTCTCTGCACAGGAGCTGCTTTGGGAAAGCATGAGGATTCGGCCTCCATACAGCGGCAGAAGTCAGTGAATCCTCGGTCCACGGACCCATTGATTCCGTTACGATCAGCTATTACAGCGATACTTTCAATTCCTTGCGGCGGTTGATCTTGTGTAGTGGATGTACAAACATGTCGGGACGAAGCCAGTCATATCCTACTTTTGTGCGGGGTGTTCCAGGGCTTTGAATCTCAATGCAACTCCTGAGCCTAGACTCCCTGGCTGCCAGTTTGAGCGAAGGTCCTGTGCTCTTTGGACGGCGTTCACTGCAGACCAAGCAGCCCCAGAAAGTTCGGACCAGGTGCCCGAAGTGCTTCCAGACGGCTGCTTCTCTCCTGGTGGCTAGGGGTTTAAGGCTTAGTTAGGGAGTTTAGGGTGTAGGGTGTAGTAGGGTTTAGTTAGGGGTTCAGGGTTGTCTTGACACTGGGGTTTAGGGCTTATCTGGCTTATCCGCTCTACCCCAAAATGACTTGGTCCTCACGAGCACTTTGCGAATGCTGGGCCGAATCTTGAACCGCAAGGCTTCCAGCGTCACCTCGAAGGAACAACCGCCGTGGAAACAGCGCACAGCGCAAGCTTCTGACTTAACTCCAGCCCCGGGGCAAAGTAGCTCATCAGATGGTACCAGGGGCCGTCCAAGGAGATGTTGACGCCGACGGAATCTGCAAAACGAGGGGGAACTGCAGAGAGCTGCAAAACAAAGAGAGAAGCACGCACGTTGTTCTTGTACACGGAATGGGAGAAGAATGGAGAGAGGAGAAGAACACACCGCCACAGGCCTCTCTGCCAGGATGCATTGACAACCGTCGCCAAAGAATCGAGGAGGGTCCTGAGCGGCAGGGATTCCCTGACTTCACTCATGCCGCAATGACCATCTGTCTCGACAACACTTCTTCGCAAACTCCGCCTCAACCCTGAACGGGATTCTAGCATCCATCCAAAAAGCAAGAGCTTTTCGGCTCCTCAAAGCCTTGGCCACTGGGCGCGTCCCGGGCTGCGGCCGGGCATGCGCTTCGCGGAGCTCGGTCAGGAAGCCTCGTTCATAAGTTGGGCAGGTTGCTTTGGAATTTTCGGTGTCGGGCTCGAAGCCTTTATTGAGTTCGGACTTCAGTATTCGGCACTGAGGGTCTTGATATAAGTGTTGCAAAAAATCAACGGGCAAACTTCGTGAACAACCATAACTTCTGAGTGGACACCAGTAATCATAATTCGAACCTTAAAGTGTCACAGCTCGGGAAGAACATCCATCCGGACGCACATACAGATCACACGCAATGAAATGGGCCAAGCATCTGGGAAACAGCTCGTCTGCGGAAGACAAGAAGCCTGTGAAGGCCTGCTGGAGACAGAGCATGTTAAAACTGAATCCTACGCACGACTTCCTATTGCTGATGACCCATTCATTGACAAGTCCGCCAGCATTCTTTGGCCGCCAGAGGCTGCCTGCCGTTATTCTGGATTGCTTAAGAGATGGAAGCCCCCTCCTTTGCCAGGCAGATGCAGAAAGCCCTCGACAAGAGCCCCCCCTCCTTTCGCCTCGGGTCCAACGGACACCTCCCGGGGCGCGCAGCAGCGCTCGAAGCTGAAGGTGCGATCGAAGCACTGACTGCCTCCGCCTGGGCTGGGACTCTGAGGTCAGAGCCGGGCAGAGGCCAAGGGGGTTTAAGGGCAGTTTAGGGTTTAGGGGTTTAGGGCTTGGTTTACAGTTGTTGTTTAAACAAACATCTTTTGCCACCCAGCAGTACTGTTCGCGGAATCCTCACAACATGGAAGCTGTGAAGGAGGATCCGAGGATCCCTGCAGGGCACGAGGAAAGACTCCGGCATCAACTTCAGAGAAAGCACGGTCAGCCGGCCAGTTTAGGGGCTTGGGCTATCTTCCTGGAAGATCCGGATTTAAGCTCGGCGGCCGTAGCAACAGAGGGATCGGGTGAGTGCGCCGTCCCAGCAACTCGCCTCAGTTGCCGGCACCCCCACTTTTGCTAGGTGAGCTGACTTGTCTGGAAAGAGGCTCCTTGCACAGAAATGCCACCCAGTCTTGCTGCCAGAACCGCTCAAAAAGCCTCTCGTTGCTGCCTGCATCCATCAAAAATGAAAGCGCGACAGAACCAAAGCAGAGGCCGAGGAGCCGAGGATGAAATCTCCGGGGTCTGCAGCATGGCTGGTACTACCAGGATGGCTTTGTCCCTTTCGTCCCTTTGTGCCAGGAAGCTTGTATAATCCTACCAGTTACCCATGACCAGCTGCCTTCGGCTTCTTGCGTTCATGCTCAGGTTCTCCGATCACCTACAGCCCGGGCCAGAGCCAAAAACAGCTCTCCGGCAATCACAACATGACATGACACAAAAAGTGGAGCGCACTCTGGACTTCAGGAAAGGGACAGCGACAAACATACCAAGTTTGGAAATGCTGCCTGCCCTATATGAGGAAGGCCTGCACAACTTCAAATCCTAAAGTCCTAAAGGTCCCAAGTTATAAGTTACGTTGATGACATGCGGCACCTCCTGCACGGCCAATGCTTCGGCAGCCCACGCCTGGCAACTCACTAGACTGTCTGCCCGGACCATGCAGCTGTCCCGGTTCTGTCAAGACACGGGGCATTGAGAAAACCATTCTGGCAAGGGTGAGGATTTTTGTTTAACCCGTTCGTCTCACTCCACAAGCAGCGCAGCAGCTGACTTAGCCAGCAGCCGAACAAGCTCAAGCGAAAGCGATGGGCTGCAGTCACCTGTGACTGCAGCGTGTCGTTTGAGCTTGTTAGGCTGCTGGCTGAGTCAGCTGCTGCCGCTGCTCCGTTTGCTCAGCGCCAGTAACTTCGATTCCATATCTCCTTGCTACCTTTCTTGCTCTTGCCTTTGCCACTGCGTTTGCCAAAGCCCTCGCTGTTGCCGTTGCCTTTCGCTCTCTTTTCATCTTTGGCCCCTTCCCTTCCCTTTGCCCTTGTTGAGACTGGGGCAACTCTTTCTCGGGTCGGGCTTCTCAGAAATTATTTAGGCACATGTGGGCTTTGGGGGCGGTTGGCTCGCGGACCGGTCGGCCGAAGAAGTTTCGGGGGAGATGCCAGAGGTAGTCAAGTTTGCAAAAGCTTCGCGAAGGTGCCGGTGAACGAGCAGCCTAGTTTCTGCAGCTCACGCACTCCGTCAATGCCAGATCCAATATCACAAACGGTGGCCTGGCATGCACAACGTGGCTGTCAGCGTGACCGCGGGGCCGGGGTGCACGCGTATGCCATCACGTACTTGCCTGAATTCTGCTAGCTGGCATAAGGGGCGGCAACAGCATCAATGGCCCGCTCTGGGCTCTTCGAAGCAATTCCGCAAAGGGGGAGACATTGTCGCCCCTTCGTCGATGATACGTGGTAGACCGCGCGGAATCTCTGCCACTCAAGCTATTTTTCGTATAACTCCGGTAGCTCCATCCTCCCACCGTAACATGCGAGACAACACGGCGGCAAGTGGACCACTGGAACGGCAAGTGGACCACTGGAACTACTCGCACTGGAAGTACGAGTAGTTGCAATGGTCACGATTCCCCTTGTTGCCGTTTCGCTTCGGCTTCTTGTCACTGTTTGCGTTTAAGCTTGCTTCATTGCCCGGCTGGGCCTAGACAGAATCCTCATAAGTGTAGGCACTCTTCCTCGTAGGTGTTTGGAGTAGAAATCTCAGACAGGTTTGCCCAAGAGAAGGCTGGGGGAGACATGTCGCAAAGTTTGAGATGCTACTAAGGCAAGTTGTACTTCGATGTCACCACCAGTTCTCAATCTAGCACAAGTTCCCCGACAAGTTGGAGGGGCACTGGCCGTGGCAGTGGATTGAGAATCGGTGGTGACATGGAAGAAGCTGCCAGTGGTTGCTGAGCAGCTGCCACTTGTGACAAGGCTGGGTTGTGAAGCATGCGCTGGGGCGCCAAGTGCCGGAGTGGCGCCTTCAGCTTGTCCACGTCTTCCACGAGGCCGCTGGCATTCCCACCCCCCCCCCCCCCCCCAAAT